ACTTCAACTCCCAGAATTCCCCAGCCTGTATGGTGGCCGGGGAATTCTGGGAGTTGAAGTCCACACATCTTAAAGTTGCCAAGGTTGAGAAACACTGCATTAGAAGAAAAACTGCCATTTGTGCTAATAGAAGCCTTCCTTCCCATACAAATGCAGACAGGAGTAAGACAGGATCAGGGCCAAAGTATGGGACAAAGAGCTCAACTCCTTTTCCCTCAGGAGAGTCCCAGTCCAAATCGCCCTCCTCCTAGCACATGTATTCAGGACCATGAATCCTTCTCAGGACTTAGCCTTCTACACAGCCATGGGGCAAAGACAACCAATGGCATGGGAATCTGTGCATGGCCTCTTATAACTTCATATAAATTGAGAAGGGGAGGAGGGCTTGATAGGGGATGTCTAGAGAAAGGTGCAGTTCAGATCTTTGGAGCTTGCTGAAAATAGAGAGAAGAGGCCGTTACCACAATCTTTGCGCACATCTTTGCCAAACCCAGCCAGTATTCGTTTTGATATAATACATGGGATAAATTGATGCAGATAAGCTTAGCAGAAAGGCACTCAGTTCATAAGCATGTTTTGTTTCAGAATTTTGAACATTTAAATAATGAAATAATGGGATTTCCCCGAGAGGACATCAAATCCCACCATCAATATGAGTTTGCTAAAATACATGTAAAATGAAGGCATCGGGAAAAAAACCTAAAATGCATTTATACTTACGCGGAACTATTTTTAAAGCCAAAGCTTTCTCTATCTTCATGTGTGTAGCGATACTGCCCGTAGCATTCTCTCATAAATGCCCGAAAAGAAGGATAGATGGAGCAAGTGTTGTTACGGATTTTCAACTGCCGGATCTGAGCTACTCCCAGGAGTAAGTTCTCATAGTAGATGTGGCTACTGTTTCTGTAGCTAGTCGTGGCATTTTCATTATACCAGGTTTTCCAATAAAGCCCATTCACAAGTGGGCCTTCTAAAAACTATATTACATGAAAGAAGTCATTTGTTTGCTTTTTAACAGAACAAATCCACCTTTTGAAACTCACTGAAAAGGAATCTAACATGTTTTAATGCCCATGGGTAGAGCGGGAAACCCTCCAAGCCTTGGGAAAGGTACATTTATCTTCTTTGGCATTATATATCTTACCAAGGAAAACGTAACAAAATCAATGGGCATATCACTTGGTGGCATTTAGACATACAGAACCTCTTCGTATTATTTTGTGAATTTTATTTCCAGACTAAGCCTATACACATCCATTCAGAAGCAAGCCCCACTGATTTATTTCACCTAATCCTGTAGTGCATAACCAAAACCTTAAAAATCCTGTTCATAATCAATGTTCTGTGAACATGATCCCTGTTTGCCTTCTTTTATGAAGGTTTATTCCCACAGCCATGGGGCCTGCTAGAGACCATCCTTGGCATACTGAATATCTGGTCATCTGTTCTTTAAATCTCTAGTCCAAAAGGGAAGACTTCCTGCCTGCAATCCTGAAGAACCACTGCCAGTCAGTGTTGGCAATACTGGCTAGAGACTCAGTGCAAGGCAGTCTGATGCACACAGGGTGGCTGAAAAACAACCAGAGCCTGCACTTCGGAATTTAGTACGATTGCCACCAAAATGCAGTAGCACAACATGTGAGGATTCTGGGAGCTGCAGCACAGAGATCTGAAGACTGCATGAAGACTATGGGTTGCCTACCACTACACTAAGCCAACATTTGTTTTAATTGTGGTATGCTGAACAATCCAAAAACCAGCCAAAACCTTGCTTGGTTTTGGATACACATAACAAGGCTTAGCAAGCTTCAGTCTTCCAGATGACAAAGTATTCATGGTTGGTATACAATCCTGGTTTATTTGGTTGGTTCTCTCCCTCTTTTGGAACTGGGATTGGTTACAGAAGGCAAGGGCCCCAATGCATCGAAGTGGAGGGTTCTGAGCAAAGGCAGAACTCTTCTGAGATGCCCAATGAACCGGAGCCAGTTGTCATAACAACGGCCAAACAATGGCCTACGTAGCTATGGAATACCCTCCCTGAAACAAACGCTCCCCTCCCCTCTGTTTTTGGAAGAGCAAAGGTGGAAAGGAAACTTTACCTTCCAAAAGTCAGTAATGCTGCCCATAGTTTTGAAGATTGTTGTATCATCCGCTGACAAAGGGGTTTCCAAAAAGAGGTTGGCCATTACTCTGTTTAGGTAATACATATCTGTGCTCACCATCCCAAACGTCACTAAAGAGAAATACATTACACAAAAATCCAACATGAGGAAATGAAACAGCAGGGCTCATCAGATTACCTAACACACTTGCCCTGTTTATTCACTGGAATCCCAAAGAAAAGCGATTTGTGAACTCCTTAATGGGCCACAGCAAATATCAGAGGGAAAAAAGGCAATTATTGCCTCAGCTATGAAACAGCTTATCCCATGCCACTAACCATAATGGAGAGATATGCAGGGTGGTCCAAAATCATGCTGTATGTCCACGAGCATTTTAATTGTTCTTGGGGATCTCAAAGGACTTTGGTTAATATGTAGAAGCACCATTCACAAGATATGCTTTCCTCTCCATCCTTAAAAATCCCCACATCTTCTCCATCTTCCACAGGAACAGAAGCTTTCTCCCCAGCTCCTGGACTTGCTGGCAAAGGTCACCCAGCAGGACTTCCCAGCTGATGCCCTTTGATAACGGGCTACTTATCTTTCTGGATTACCTTTCCACCCATTGCACTGAAATTTCCTGCAAGATTCCCGCTTGACTGACCTAACATATACACTTTCTACTTCAAAAACCTACCTTCTTTCTTTCTTTCTATCTATGAATGAAAATAGGGAAATGGATTAACAATTACTCTCCTGATTTTTTTGTACAGATATAAATCCACTTTTCTCAGTGATCAGCAGTCTGTATAAATGCATCACCCAATCATATTTAAAGCTGCCTTTTTAAACCTTCACATATGCATACCCACAGCTGCATTCAGACATAACAAAAATTCTAGTGAAGGAAGCTGGCTTTACTCCTCCCTGTCATTTTGATTACTAAACAAGCCAAGAAAAATACAAGTGAGTGATATAACCTAGGTTTATAGCTGATTAGGTTTATATTATTATTCATGCATATGAATATGAATAATTCATATTATTCATATGAATGAATAATATGAATCTAATCAGCTATAGATTCATATTTCATATGAAAGCTGGCTAGGTGACTTTGGATCAGTCCAACCCACCTCACAGGGTTGTTACTGTGGGGAAACATAGGAGGCAGGAGTATTAGGTATGCTTGCTACCTTGATATATCTGTATCTATCTGTGTCTATATCTATATCTATATCTATATCTAGATATTGATAGATAGATAGATGAAATTGGGATAAAAATATAATAATTTTAAATAAATAAATACTTTTATTTATAAAAATAAAATAATTTTCTATATGCAGCTTGAGAAATACATAATTCTGTGGTTTTCATTAAACCCTTTTTGTAGGAAAAAATCAGTTCCCTTTTCCGGACTTACATATACATAAGTCAGTTAGAAAAATAATGTAGATCAGCAGTTCTTGAAGAGTCGTCTTCATTTCTAGCTCTCTGCTATGAGTCAGTCGAGGTTTCACACTGCCTGTTAATATGTGATTTTCAGAAAGAAAACAAAAAGAAGAACAGCTCAGAATGCTCAGAATTGTCCAAGCTCAACCAAGCCAAAGGAAGTCCCCAAGTTACAAAAATAAAATTAAAAATCCAGAATTAGCTGTGACTCCAAATGTATTATTCAGTTTCTCACTGCACTGAATCCAACTAAATTAGCCACTTTACACTTTATGAAATTCACTACTGATAATCATTAATGTTGGTAGCTTTTTAAAACAGTGAACGAAGTATAATCATTGTAGCTAAATGACTGGAGCTTAAGTATTCAGTACTGGTCTGCTTTAGAAGCCCAAATATTGTTGAAAGCAAATGTTGGCTGGATGCTGTATCTTTTCACAAAGGTGGCTGCTCTGAGAAATAGAACATCTGGCATAATCCAAAGAGGGGCAATCTTTCAGATTGGAGTTGCCAGACTCCAACTCCCATCACCCCTACGCAACATGGTCAACGGACAGCAATCCCTAAATATCCAGAGAATGAAACGCAGCCGCCTCTGCTGCAAATTGCAGTCATGCATACCACCGTCACATACTTGCTTCTGCATGGACACGAGTTGCAGATTTGTGCAGTGATGTCGCTGAGCATGTGTCCTTCGCCTCCTCTCCTCTCTCCTGCCCCCCCCATGGGGAGGATTTAGATCCTCTTACTCCAGATTCCCCACATATTTTTTACATTCTTTTCCTTGGAAATCAGCATCCAATTTAACTAGCCCAAAGCAGCTGCCTAGTTCGCCTACGGGGATGGGCCACTTCCCTGATTTTGTGGTTTGTTTACTTTGGCTTAGAATATAGTTTGAATTTAGCCACTCTAGTTTGTAAACCATGGTTTATGGCAGGGGTGAAAAAAATCTTTGGATGGCTGGGGGAGTTGCACTTCACATTCTTGTGTCTGCAGAGAGAGAGAGATGAAGAAAATGTATGCACAGAATTTTCTGTTTATTTTTCCTCATTTTGGGGGTGGAATCAGTGTTTCACTTTTTATTCTAAACTATGTTATGCTTATTTTAGGGCTTAATTGAAGTTTTTGAGTGCATCCTATTTCAAAATAGCAGGAAACTAGGCCAGCAATTTTCAACAGCAGTGGTCAGAGTTATGGAAGGGAGGGACCAGGCTATAAAAAAAGGTTTAGCTTCAGGTTATCAATTTCTGGTCTATGGCACGTGTTGTGTGAATATAGCCAACTGCAATTTATTCAACATAGCACGATGAAGCAAAGTATTGTTAAGTGTAATGTACGGCTTAGATTGAGCATGAAACTGAGCAAACTCAGGGAGGCAGTGAAGGACAGGAAGGCCTGGCACGATATGGTTCATGGGGTCACGAGGAGTCGGACACGACTTAACAACAACAACGGCTTAGATGGATTTAGAACTAGATTTTATGTAGAACAAAGCTATATCTGCACAACATGCAGATTTTCTGGATTTCCATGACACACTGAACCATAACCTAGCCCCACAGGCCGGGTTTACACTACTTAGTAAGCTGAAATGCGATTTCGTGTTCACTGTGTTACGCAACTGTAGCTAAAGCGTGGACAGGACACGGATGCATGAAGAAGTTTTGCATCCTTCTTATGTCTTGTTCATTGACACTGTTAGTGGGAAACCACATTTGCCTGATAAAATCCACAGGAACAGAAAACCCCCAAACGTTTGGAGCACCAGGGCCCTCCCTGAGAAATTGGTGTAAACGCCACAGGCTCTTGAGTTACTCCACCTGTTCAGCAGCAACAACCACAAGGCCTTAATATGCAGATGTTCTTCCCTTATCTCGGATGCAGTAAAATCCACTGTTAAAGACCCCCCTTGTCATTCGCACAGCTATTCAGACATTCATGGGGTTCATTTCTAACGACCCCCGTTTCAGCTCCCGAAATGAACGTCTGTGTTTATAACTACGTTTATGACTACGGTAGTGCCCTTCCCACGAGTCCCCCTCTTCGTGCCCAAGGCAAAGGTCAAGCTCGAGGCTGGACCGCGCTTGTCCAGGTACGAAGCGAAGGTCAAGCGCGGGCGGCGCACCCACGCCAGGACTGGCCGGCCGGCCGCCTTCCGCCCAGGCGCTCTCGCCTCCCGGGAA